TGTTTTTTGTGTGTGTGTGTGTGTGTGCTTTTCTGTTTTTCCCCCCACATTCTAATTAGAATGTGTGACCCCTAAAATCAGACGAGGTCATAATAAATGTTATTTACACACAGGAGGAGTCCCCAGGAAGAGTGAGGAACTAGCAGGGCTTTGGGATGTCGCTTTAAGAGGGGCCAGGAGGCCTGGAGAGGGCAGTTCTCTGGAGGGAAGGGGAAGAGTTCACGTGGCAGGCATTGAAAACCTAGTGGAAGGACAAATGACAAACAAAAATATTTGCAGCTTCAATGCAAAGGTCAGATTTCCTTAAAGTATAAACAGCTTAAAAAAAAAGAAGTATAAACAGCTCCTAGAATTTTATAGGATAAAACAGACAAGGCCTGTGTAAAAATGGGCCACGAATATAAAGAGAGTTCATAGGAAATGAAATGTAAGCAAAACATGAATATTTGGCCCTAGCCAATTTGGCTCAGTGGATAGGGTGTCGGCTTGTGGACCAAAGGGCCTTGGGTTTGATTCCCATCAAGGGCACATGCCTGGGTTGTGGGCTTGATCCCCAGTAGGGGGCGTGCAGGAGTCAGCTGATCAATGATTCTCTTTCATCATTGATGTTTCTATCTCTCCCTCTCTCTTCCTCTCTGAAATAAATAAAAACATATTAAAAATGAATATTTGCTCAGTTTCACTTTCAGTAAGAGAAATGAAAACTACATGGACACTGAGAAAACATTTTCCTTCTCTTAGACTAGAAATATCCAAAAGTTTGACTACACACCCTATTGATGAGACTGTGGGGAAATCTGTACTCTCTGATATTGCCGGGGGGAGAATAAATTGGTACCACCTTTATGGAGGGAAATTTAATATTTATCTGAATTACTTATGTGTATACTCTTTAGTTTAATATCCTACTTTTAGAAGTATATCCTATGGAAATATTTGTCCTGTATAAAATGACACATGCATAGTGTTATTCATTATAGTATTGTTTATAGTAGTGAAAAAACTTAAAAGAACCCTCAATAACCCTAGCTGGTTTTGACCAGTGGATAGAGTGTCAGCCTGCAGACTGAAGGGTCCCAGTTCGATTCTGATCAAGGGCACATGCCCAGATTTCAGGCTCCATCCCCAGCGGGGAGCATGCAGAAGGCAGCCGATCAGTGATTCCCTGTCATCATTGATGTTTCCATCTCTCCCTCTCCCTTCCTCTCTGAAATCAATAAACATATATTTTAAAAAAAGAACCCTCAATAAATAATAAATAAATGAGGAAACGTCACTACAGTGGAAAACTATACAGCTATAAAAATCATAAGGAAGCTCGCTATATACTAGTAGAAAAATATCTCCAAGATATATATGTTAATTACTTATATTTTAGAATAGTTTTAGATTTACAGGAAAATTGTGACGATAGTACAGAGAATTTCTGTATACCCCATACCCAATTTTCCCTGTAATCAGCACCTTGCCTTAGTAAAGTATATTTGTTACAGTTAAGGAACCAATATTGATCCATTAGTATGAACTAAAGTCCATATGTCATTCAGATCCTCTTCATTTTCCCGTAATGTCCCTTTTCTGGCCCAGGGCTTCCTCCAGGACAACACACCACACTTAGCGCTCCATCTCCTCAGGCTCCTCTGGGCTGGGGCCGTTCTCGGACTTTCCTTGTTTTTGGTGGATCTTGTCAGTTTTGAGTACTGACCAGGTGTTTTGAAAAATGTTTTTCAAGTGAAATCTGTCTCATGTTTTCCCTCAAAATAGCCTGGGGTTTTGGAGAAGGAAACCATAGAGGTAAATGCTGTACTCCCCACATCACATCAAGGGCACATTCTATCGACATGACTCATCACTATTGATGTTGATTTCTTTTTAAAGATTTTTTATTGAATGATGAGAGAGAGAGAGAGAGAGATTGATTTGTTGTTCTACTTACTTGCATTCATTGGTTGATTCTTATAAGTGCCCTGACCAGGGATCGAACCCAAGGCCTTGGCATTTGGGGATGACACTCTAACCCAGTTAGCTTCCTGGCCAGGGCGCTTATGTTGATCTGGGTCACCTGACTGAAGTAGTGTTTGTCATGTTTCTCCACCATAAAGTGGCTTGTTCCTCCCACTTTCCATATTGTCCTCTTTGGAAGGAAGTCGCTGTGCGTCTCCCACCCTCAGGGGCAGAGAATTCAAGAAGGCACTTTGTGCTATAAGGACTCTTCAGACTGTGCATTCAGGGGTCAGTTTCATAGTTTGTTACTAGAAGCACTTTTAACTTTTCTTTCTTTTTGGGACCACTTCTGGGTTTTTGCCTACTAAGTTTTAGGTTTGCAAACCCTATGACCCTTGAATATCTATCATTTGTTTCTAGCCAAAGCCTCCAGACCTTTTTTGAGTTTGTTCGAAATACTACATCAAGCAGGATAAGGGATAAAGCATGATGATGTTACTATGTTAGGATGGTTGGTAGTGAGCTCCCTGGCCAGTGTGGCTCAGTTGGTTGGGGGTTGACTCATGTCCTAAAAGTTTATAGGTTCCGTTCCCTGCCGGAGCACATGCCCCAGTTGCAGGCTCCATCCCCAGTAGGGGACGTGCAGGAGGCAGCTGATCAGTTTCTCACATCGATGGTTCACTTTCTCCCCCTTCCTCTCTTCTTTAATATCAATAAAAAATCCTACAAATAAAAAAGAGATGGCCAAAACCGGTTTGGCTCAGTGGATAGAGTGTCAGCCTGCGGACTCAAGGATCCCAGGTTCGATTCCGGTCGGGGGCATGTACCTGGGTTGCGGGCACATCCCCAGTGGGAGATGTGCAGGAGGCAGCTGATCGATGTTTCTCTCTCATCGATGTTTCTAACTCTCTATCTCTCTCCCTTCCTCTCTGTAAAAAATCAATAAAATATATTTAAAAAAAAAAAAAGAGATGGATGGTGAGAAAAGGCCCCATAGGAGAGCTGAGACCATAAGAAATGAGAGTAAGTAGCATGGAAATCTGAGAAAGAGCAAGCAGAAAGCCAGGAGTGTCGTGGGATGCTTGATGGAAGAAGCCGTCTCCACTGGGATACGCCATCAACACGATAGGATGAACTTGATCAGCAACGATACTTAGGTATGTTGTGCTATTCAGACGCTGTTCCACACGAATTAAAGGGCCCAAATCATGCCAGGAAAACATGCCCCAAACCATAACACTGCCCCTACCAGCTGGAAGGGTTGTACTTATGCATGTGGGGTGCATGCTTTCATGCTGTTTCCGCCATATTCTCACTCTGCCATCTGCAAGATGCAACTGGAAACGTGATTCATTGGACCACATGACTTTTTTCCAATGCTCGACTGTCCAATCCTTGTGTTCCTGTGAGAATTGGAGACGTTTTATCTTGGTAACTGCAGACAGCAAAGGTGTTCGAACAGGCCTTCGGCTTCCATATCCCATACGATGCAGTGTATGGCTAATTTACCTACAAACATCAGGTGGTCATAATAATCTGGCTACTCAATATATATATATATATATATATATATATATATATATATATATCCCACGTTCAAAGGCTGTTAAATTGCATTGTTTACCCATATCTTCAGAAAAAAATCACTTCTACTGTCGTGGTAAACAACCTGCTTCCCTATTTATAATGGTCTGGCCCTCTAGCAACTTCAGCGTGAAATTATAGCTAATTTGCCTACAAACATCAGGTGGTCATAATAATCTGGTCACTCAGTATACATATATATTTGTATTTGCATAGAAAAACTCTAGAAAGATGTATACAAATCTACCAGGAGAATAAAAATTGTATGTTCCCTCAAAAATTTGTACACAACTGTTCATAGCAGCATTACTCAAGTAGTGGTGGTTGTGGTTACACAACTGTGAATGTGCTAATGTCATGGAAGCATACACTTACAAATGGTTAAGATGATACCCTAGCCAGATAGCTCAGTTGGTCAGAGCGTTGTCTTCATATACCAAGGTTGCAGGTTTGATCCCCACTCAGGGCACATACAAGAATTAACCAATGAATGCATAAATAAGTGGAACAACAAATTGATGCTTCTCTCTCTCTCTCCCTTCCTCTCTCTCTAAAAACAAAAATTTTTAAATAAGGATGTTAGATGAAGAATGGTAAAAGTTACATCACTTTCACAACCACTGCCAAGCTTACAACATCTACTTTATGAATGAAGGCTTATGTTTTTACACGTTGAGGCTCAACTTCCCAAAAATAGAAATTTAGTAATGTGAGAGGGAAGGATGTATGTCTATAAAAAAGGAAAAAGCCAAGTCAGCCCAATAAACAAATTACATCAAAACAGAGCCCAGGGGTTTCCCCTTTAGTAGGACAGTCTGCTGCCAGGAAACATGGCGTCCTTAACAGGAGTTCCTTGCTAGTCCTTTAAAATATTGTTGACATTTCTTGATCTTTGGAAACAATGTCAAGGGGCAAATCAAAACCTAATATTGAACAAGGGAAGGGAGTGCCACGCTGATGCCAAAGTCCTTTTGGTCAGCGTGACCACACATTCGGGTGGGAGCTTTGAGAGCCTGTTGGGGCCACAGCAGGATACGTTGGCCCTAGAATGCTTCAGTATTTATATGTTTTGAGAAATGACCACCACAATAAGTCTAGTTACCATTCATCACCACACATAGTCACATTTATTTTTAATCTTTCGATATGAACTGTCAATGGAAGAAACATTCAAGTCTGTGAAGAATTTTTGTGAGTTTATTTGAGCCAAAGTGTCGACAACTGCCAGGAAGCATTATCTCTGAGATACTGCTTTGGAGAACGGCAGTTTTGCACCTTGTTTTATACATTACAATACAAAGAGGAGACGTAAATGGGTTACATGAAATCCAGTGGTGATAGATTAGGGAGGCGGGAGAAAGCCAAGCAGGGGAGGGGGACCTCTGGGATTGGATGAAAAGTGAAATGATTACACATGCTTCTTTTACTTAGGTGGCTATGGGATAGTTAGCAATTAACTCAATAACAGTGAGCGGTGCCTGTGCTTTGAGGGGTCTGGAAAAAGGAAAATTACTTTGACATTCTAATGATATGTTATCATAGATGCAAAAAGACAATGGACAGGCTCAGTGAGGGTAAAGATTGACCTTTGTCGGGGAAAATGCTGGCCTAGGACATCATTACCCACCATCAACTGCTTTTGGTTAAAAAGTTTTAATTTCAGACCATCCTTTGTGGTTACTTTAGGTCTCTGAATTTGCAAGGCCGCCACACAGGCCTTCCCTGAGCTTGTCAGGTTAGCTTGTGGCCCCTTTTCATCCACAGAGCTTTTAAGATCTATTCTCCTGGCAACTTTCAAATATGCAGTACAGTATTGCTAACTACAGTCACCGCGCTGGACATGACATTCCCATGACTTATTTTATAACTGGGCGTTTGTATCGTCTGGCCACATTCACCCATTTCCCTCCACCCCTGCCTCTGGCAACCACCAGTTTGTTCTGTGTGTGTGTGTTGTTGTTTCTGTTTGGATTTCACAGATAAGGGAGAGCATACGGTGTTTATTTTTGTGTCTGACTTATTTCACTCCACATTTCATCCATGTGTTGCCATGGCAAGATTTTTAGCACATCTTAGACCCCTCTTTCTCAGAGACCAGAGGATGAAGCTGTGGGTGTATTCTGCCGGACCGAGAAGGCGCGCTGAGCTGTTCCTCTCTTGTGGCTTCATCTCTGCAGAGAAATTGGAGGCTGTGGAGAGGGACCGGGAGGAAGTGGGGGCAGCAGCTGTGGAGAATGGCAGTTTGTCAGAGATGGGATCTGGATTGCCAGGTGGCCTCAGTTGAGTCACCCCAGCGTGAGTCGGGCCAGGTGCCGTCTGAGTGGTGTCGTGCCCTCGCCCAGCAGAACTCGGCGCCATGCAGGCCTGCCTCGAGCTTGTCAGGTTTAACATGCGGCCCCTTCCCCATCCTCGGTGCCAAGCACTGAGCACGCTGCTTCACTTTCCTTATCTCAGTTGTTCCTCCCACCCTGCCCCCACCTCCGAGATAGGCATTGCCACCCTTAATTGACAGAAGAGAAAAAGGCTGGCTGCTAGAGACGGAAAAGAACCTGTCCAAGGCCACCCAGCCAGCATCTCGCCTAGGGCCAGGAGCGAAGGCCAGGCTCCCCAGAACCAACAGGGACTGCCCAAAGGATCATTGTTTCCACCAGGGCCGCTCTGTGGGAAAGGGTGGCAGATGGTGGGGGTGGGGGAAATCAGTCTTTAAGAGACTCCTTCACAGAGTGTGACCTTCTCTCTCAGACAAGACAGCAGGGAGCAGAGGGAGGGAGAGCGGTGGGGGGAGGGGCAGCAGATTCAGTTTAGTCTTTGAAGTCAGTGGGGGGGGGGTGTAGGGAGCGGGGGAGGGGTGGGGGGAGGCTGATGCCTAGTCAGTCACCAGATCCAGGGAGACCGGAACCACACACCCCACTAAGCCTGAGAGGTGTGGGTCAGAGCCAGTGGAGCAGGAAGCCAGCTACCCCGGGAAGCTGGAAGTGAGCACCCACCAGGATGGAGGGGGGCTCATTTGGGGTTGACAGGTCCCTGATTGAAGGGAATTTGGAGGCTGTCCCTATCCAAGTGGCTACAAAGCCCTCATGCCCAGGCCCCAGGCCGGGCTGGAGAGACCATGGAGAGATGGAGGACTGAAGTGCCCTGGAGGCTTCAGCGGGCAGTCTCTGTGGGCTCCCGGCAGGAGGAGGCCGGGGTGAGGGTGGGGTGGGGAGGTAGGGCATCTAGGGCAGGCTTTAACGTCAAGAACTGGTGGACCTAGTGAGGGGGGAAAATAAGACATTTTGGGGGCTTGCAATCTTAATGTGTGCCAGTAACCTAATGCACATTCCTGTTAGCCTATAGCCTAGTCACTGCCACTTCCTTAATGATCTGATCTTGCAAGACCTGTTTACCTAAGTACTACTCCCATTTTATAGAGGCCATAAACCATGAGCAATACACAACCCCCAGACAAGGTTATCAGTGCTGGTGTTATCAGTGCTGGCGCCAGGCCAGGCCTTTAGGCGTGGTCTCAGGGTCCCCATCCCAACACCAACACACGGGGCTTTATGCAAAGCCCGTGAAAGGTCCGGAAGTGTCATCCATATTTGGGGGACAAAGAAACCAAAAGGGTATAAAGGGAGAGCTTCCTTCATATTGGTTTGCTCAGAGTTTGGAGAGAAACGGTCTCCCCTGAGTCACTGTACCGGTACATGCGACACATCTGAAAATAAATGGGTTTTTCCTGTAACTCCGGTACTCCTGTGTATGCTTTGGTCGCCTGGTAAATTCGGTAACACTAGGATTTCTTGATGCTTCCCGTGAGGGCACTAGTCTGGCACGAGCAATTTTCTAACAATAATGATGATGCGAACCTGAGCACCTTCAGGGCAGGAGTGAACTGACCTGTGGCCACACTTCTCACCCCTTCCAGCCTCCAACTCAGGGAGTCAGTTCGTTTCTGACCTGCTGGCTTTTGCGGCTGCTGGATTTTTTTTAACCTTTGAGGCACCTGCCATGCCACCTCCTGAGATCTCAGTTTGAGGGGTGAGATGAGAGAGGAGGCTCAGGGCCCTGGGGACCCCTAAGACGAGAGAGGAGGCTCAGGGCCCCCACGCAGCTCCAGTGGGAGGCTTGGTTGGCCCCTGGCTCAGACCTCCCCTCGATGCCGCTCCCTGGTACTCATAGGCTCCATACAGTTCCCAGGGCCTGCTGTGCGGAAGGCACCCCTGGCATTGCCCTCTGGCTTTGGTGACAACCACACATTTCAAATGCTCCCTGGAGGCGGGTGGTACCGCTCCAACTGAAAGCTACCGGGGCCCCTCTTTAGTCACTGGGGAAGTGACTCCCGCTCCCGCCAGTCTGTTCCTGGCATGGAAACAGAGACACGGAAGCGGGGACCGCGTGTCGCTTATTATATTAATGCCCCTGAGCGGGAGAGAGAGGCCATGCCAGGAGGGGTGGGCAGCAGGCAGGGGTGGGCAGGACAGAAAGTGTGGAGAGCCTCCCCGCCAGGAGTCCTGGGGAAGTCTCACTTAGCCTTTAATAAAGGGTGCTGAGAGGGAGAGGCTGTGGGGTGAATCCAGGAGCCGGGCTGGGGAAAAACAGAAACACTGAGCTGGGTGCTGGGGGCGGAGGTGCGAGGATGGAGTAGGCATGGCCTCGGGGACCCAGCTGCCCATCCCACCAGCAGATCGCAGAGTTGAGAGTGCGAAGAGTGCCCGCCTCTCTGGGCGGTTGGTGGTGGTGGTGGTGGTGGTGGTGGTAGGTAGCCAGGCTCCTGCAGCCCCTCTATCCCCACATGGTTATCTGCAGCCACTGTGGGGAGAGAAGAAGCAGGTGTGAGGGTGGAGGTGGGGCAGGACAGCTGGGGAGAGCAGAGGGCAGGGGAGCCAGGGGCAGGGGTACCGGAAGATCCCTCCCATGTACCTGGTCCAGGTCCAGATGGATATGCCCAGTTTTCTTGGGGTCCATAGTTAGAAAGTATGCTGTTGGGGGAGGGGCGAGGGGAGAGGGTTGAGCGGAGTCAGTGGCTGTACCTGAGAAACCACTCCCAACCAGGGAGGGTGCAAGCAGCTGTCCCTGCCTACCCCCCAGCCCAGCAGGGGATTCATGAAGCCAGGCCCCGTTCTGAGTGATCTCCATACATACACCAACTCATCTCATCCGTACTTTCATCCTGTGAGGGCAGGGCCATTATTACTCCCATTTTATAGGCAAGGCAATGGAGGCACAAGAGAGAAAGTGACTCGCTTAAGGCACAGAGCAGCCACGGGGGGAGCTGGGATTTGAACCCAGACTGGCTGTGCCCTGTAAGGGGGAGTGGAGCGGGGCTTTGGAACAGCTTTCCGCATGTGAGTATGTGGGAGAAGGCCAGTGGTCCCGCCTGGGGTGGGGAAGGGAGGGGGAGCGGGCAGGTGCCTGACTCACTGAACATGGCTTTCAGCCTCAGGAAACAACTGATGAAGCTGTCGAAATCCATGAGCATGTCGTCATTTGCATACCTGGCCACCAGCACCTGCGTCACCTTGTTGTTCACCTTGATGCCTGGGAGAGAGAGGGGAGCAGAGGAGAGTCCGGTCCTCTGTCCACTGCCTCCCTCCTCCCGGCCCCAAAGCCCCCTCCTGGCCCCTGGCCACCTGCTTTCTCAATTGCCAAGCGCATCTCGTAGGAGTTCAAGGTGCCCGAGTTGTCCTCGTCACATTCTTGGAAGATGTCCTGAAAGGACCCCCAGATCAGGTGGGCCGTGTGCGCGGCATGGTGGTGGCAATCATTACTTCGGTGTGGTTGACTCACAGCTGCTGCCCGGGACCCTCGGGGCTCCCTGCCCTGGCTCATCCCCTGAGTGCCCACGATTCCTGTCTGCTGGTGACTGCGGGGTGGATTCCAGGCCTGGCAGGGGGCTTGGCACCCTGCCAGGGCTCTCTGTGTGTTTGACACCAACGCTTCGGCAGATCCTGGCCTGTTGAGTGTGCATGTGTGTCCACGCATGAGCGTGTGTGCATGTGTGTGTCTAGTCAGAAGCTCCCCTTCTCGCTTCATCATTAGTAGTCCCCATCCCTCTTGAGGCCCTCCCGCTCTCACCCCCATGAGGTGCCCCCTCCATGCCCGTTACCGTCCATTTCTTGATTTTTCTCCACAGGATCTGGAACTCCGGAAGCCCTAGCTTGCCAGAGCCATCTTTCTGGGGGGTGGTCAAGGATATCTGAGAAGGGAGTTGGGGGGGGGGCATCCTGGGGCCAGGGAAGCGGAGGGACTCAGGGGGTAGGGGATGCATAAGACCAGGGGAGTCCTGATGGTAACTGTGGAAAGAGCCAGAAGAGCTGGCATCATTGCATCATTTGCTACCCCAGAGCCTACTCCCCATCAGGAGGGCGGGCATGGCTGGCCCGAGAGGCGGCCACACGAGGACCAGGCTGAGGGGTAGGGGGACAGGGGCAGGAGGGCACTGGACAGGACCGCCCTCCGGCAGGGGGATACGTCCATGATGTTGATCATGCAGCGGCACACGTCCACGCCGAAGCCCTTGCACTTGAAGTTTCTGACTGTGAGGGGGGAGGGCAGGAGGGGAAGGAGTGAGTGGGGGTGTGGGGGCGCAGACAGTGGTCCAGGTGGGGCCGTGCCGTAGGGGAGTGGCCGGGAGTGGTGGGGCTGGAAGACTCACGTTTGGAGACCACCTTGTTGAGCAGCCTGTGGAGCGCGTACGTGCCGATCTCCAGGTCCTAGGAAGGGGGACTGTCACCCTGTGCAGCCCACTGAGCCCCGAGCCCCCGGCCCTCAGCCCTCACCTCTCCTCCTGCCACTCTCTCAAACAGACGCTTGAAGTCCGGGTCTATGTCACTCTCCGAGATGACCTCCTGGAGGAAGAGGAATGGGAAAGGAACCCAGTCCAGAAAGTTCCTTCACACCCGCCAGAGGCTTCCTCCGATCCCCCCACCCCAGAGCCCCCCTCATCTCTCTTTTTTTTAAAAGATATTTTTATTGATTTCAGAGCAGAAGAGAAAGGGAGAGAGAGATAGAAACATTCATGATAAGAGAGAATCATTGATTGGCTGCCTCCTGAACGCCCCCCACTGAAAACCGGACATGTGCCCTGACCAGGAATTGAACCGTTCATAGGTCAGTGCTCAACCACTGAGCCACGCCGGCTGGCACCCCCCCCCTCCACCCCCCCTCACCTCCTGGAGTATCTCGGCACAGTTGGCTTCATCTAGTTCCCTGGGCAAGAGAGAAGGAAGCTCGGGGTTACCAGGGGTCAGGGAGACAGGGGTGTCCGTGGGGGTGGGCGGCAGGAGGGGAGCCAGTCATACATCTGAAGCAATATGGAATGGGCGCGTGGCAGCTGGGTTCCAGTTCTGCTTCTGCCACTAACTGGGACTTCCCCTCCTGTGCCTCAGTCTCCCTGACTGTAAAACAGGGACAAGGTTGGGGGGACCAGATGACTGCTCCCTGAGCTTGTTATCTTACCTCTCTCTCTCTCTCTCTCTCTCTTTTGGTTAATCTTAAGGATATTTTTTCATTGATCATTAGAAAGAGTGAAAGGGAGGGAGGGAAGGGGGGCAGAGAGAGAGAGACATCAATGTGAGAGACACATCAATTGATTGCCCCTCCCCACTCCCAGCCCTGACGGGGGCCAGGGATCGAACCCATAACCCTTGGTTCACGAGCCAGTGCCCTAACCATTGAGCGGCACCGGCCAGGGCAGCTATCTCACAGCTCTGGAGCAGGTGGCCTTGGAGCAGCAAGGCGGGCCCCTCACCAGGACTCGCTGTGCTTCTCCGTGAAGACCCGGAGCAGGAAGTCGGCGTCCTTGTGCTGCTCGAAGGTGGAGGGGATGATGATGTATTCCCCCGGCGGCAGCTGGAGGTGGCTGCTCACCTCCCGCGAGGTGGTGAAGATCTCCGAGAAGCCATGGTCCGGGTACTTCAGGAAGAACTCCTTCTTCAGGTGAATATCCTGGGTGTCCTGCAACTATATGTGCCCTGGAGGTGGGTACAGGGCTGGCCTGGGGGGGCTGGGGGAGAGGGGCATCCAAGGAGAAGCCTGGCTGGGCAGGGTTTCGGGGAGACATCCGCACCGACTGACCGGTTCTGGACAGCACCCACCTGGTAGTGACCCTAGTGTGACCTCTTTTTCCCCTGGCTTCCACCCAGGGCCCGAGGGGGCTGGAATCCTAACCCAGTGGCCCCCAGAGCCCTTTGCCAAACTCCACCCTTGGCCCATCCACACGCGTCCTGGCCAGGATCAAGCCCACGTCTTCTGTACCTCCTTTGGCACCTGGGAAGGGAAGAGAGAGGAGGGTCAGGTCCCCAGGATGGTGAAGGGGCTCCAGCCTGTGGAAGCCATGTGAGAGGTGTGCATAGTGTGTGTGTGTGTGTGCGCGGGGGTGTGTTAAGGACACCGGGGACTGGTGATGGGGTGAGGCATGGGCTCTGTTAAAAGCCCCAGCCTTTAGAGTCACTCAGCTTTGGCCAGCAGAGTACAGTGTACACAGTTTGCCAAGGGGAGAGTTTTACCAGTGCAGGTTGAGGACAGAATACAGCCCCCAAGAGGTGAGGTGACGTGCCCAGTGCACGCTGCTGAGACTTGGAAGAGCTGGGGTGAAAGTCTAGAGCAGTGGTTCTCAACCTTCCTAATGCCGCGACCCTTTAATACAGTTCCTCATGTTGTGGTGACCCCCATTGTTACAAATTGAACATAATTAAAGCACAGTGATTAATCACAAAACAACAGGTAATTATATATGTGTTTTCCGATGGTCTTAGGCGACCCCTGTGACAGGGTCGTTCGACCCCCAAAGGGGTCGCGACCCACAGGTTGAGAACCGCTGCTCAGAGAGCCTTTTCTTCACCATGAGCAGCTCCCGCTGTCCTGCAGCTGGCGGTGCGGGCCATGGCACTGAGCGGGCACACCGATGTGTTTGCGAAAAGGTGAGATAAACCAAGACAAACAGGCTGCTCTCCAGCAGGGATGGCCAGGACTTCGCTATGCTGATGGCGCTGTAGCCTGGCGGTGGGCGGGAACAGCCGTTCCCCTGGAGGACTGCCCCTAACCTTGGAAATGCCTTACTACAGGTGTGTCTGTTAACCTGACAGACTCAGCCTAGAGGACGACCTGGCTTGTGTCCTGTTTTCGTCGCGGTTGAACCACTGGAGGCTGGACTGGGGCCTGGCAGACTCGGTGAATACGTGAGTGAACAAATAAATGGCCATTTCTAGGATTTTGCAAAGCGTGGTTTGGGAGACACTTGTCAGGGATTTCTCTTGGTCGCTGGAGTCAGTGCTCCTGCTGGGGCACCTGGGGGAGGCTTGGGGGGCTCGGGCCGACGTCTCCAAGTGTCTGGGAACCGGGACACAGGTTCTGCGGCTGCTGCGTGGAAGTGTGAGCTGGGGCAAGTGGCCTCACTTCTCTGGCCGTCGTAGTTTCCTTCCTCTTCATAAAAGGCGCTACTATTCACAGGGGCCTTTGGAAGGATGCCTGGCACAAAGGAAGTGCTACCTCAGTGTTAGATAAAATAATCTGTCAGAAGGAAACAGCTGGCCCCGCCTCAAAACACGATGCACCGACTCCAGACAGAGGCAGGGCTGCGGAGCCTGTGGGGGAGGGTCCCCCCCACGGGTGAGGCCCGGGGAGGGAACAGAGTGGCTGGGGGCCCCAACGGGTGCCCACCTTGTAGAGGACGAAGCCGATGGTGAGCAGCTGGGCCCCCTGGGGCCGCGCCTGCCGCCAGTTCTTCTGCATCAGGGCGACCAGGCAGGTGCAGATGACTTCATCCTCCTCTAGGTCGTCGTCCTCCTTGAGGAGAGAGATCCTAAACTGGGGGTTGGTCCAGAATGTGTCTGTGGAGGAAGCAGATCAGGATGGCTCTGCCCTTCCCAGGTTGCCCTGGCTTCCCAGCCACACGCCTGCCTCCTCAACAGGTCTGACGGGGCCCCTGACCTCGTGGTGGACCCTGACCCCTGGGCCCCTGGGCCCCTGACCTCGTGGTGGACCCTGACCCCTGGGCCTCTGGGCCCCTGGGCCCCAGGCGGGGCTGTGTGGTGAGTCGGTGGTCCCTCCCGGGCCCCCTGCACCCACCGAGGTTGTTCCTGCAGCCCCCCGCTGTGCTGCCCCGCCGCCAGCTGCCCTCGTAGAAGGTGGTGTGCCAACAGCTCTTGTAGTCCCCCAAGAGCGCGTCGGGCATCAGGCTGCAGATCTCCAGGGAAGTGAAATTCCTCATGAAGTCTTGGTAGGACATCCTGTGGTGGAGGGGTGGATGCAAGAGCCCATCATCGGCGCACCCACACCCATGGGACCCCTCTTCCCAGGACCCCCACATCCACCACCCAGTGGGAGCCGGGGAGGAAGCGGGGGGCTCGGGGGAGGAAAAGCCCATCAGGCTGCACTGACCAGAACTCCCCGTCCTCCATCTTGTGCAGCAGCTGCTTCCGAGTGTTTGGGGACACCTCTTCCCACTCCTTGGCACTGGAGCAGGGACAGGCAGTGAGGGGGGCAGGAGGTACCTCCTTTTCTCCCGGACATGCCCTCACCCCTGAGTGCCTGCCTACTGGGGTCCTGAGCTACATGGAGAATCTAGAGGGGAGGGGTGCACCTGGGTGCGCCCGTGGGTCCCTCTGTGGCATGGCCTTGCTCATGGGCCTGCTGTGTGCTCTGCCCCTTACCGGAGAGCACTGGTCCGGGGCACCTACTTGTCACTCCAGGCTCCATTCCACTCCATTCGGCCCCAGGGATTCCGGATCCGAAGGAGGGTTTCCATATTGCCGCGGTAGGAGACCTGGGTGGGGGAGTGGGTCAAGGTCAGGGGCATGGGGGCAGGAGGAAGTTGCCTCCTCACGTGCCCCCCAGGTAAGGCGCAGTGGTCGGACTCACATCCCGGAGGCCGGTCACTGAGTAGGCATGTCCTCTCACCAGCATCCTCTGGGTCACGGATTCCAGCTGGCTCTCGCTGGTGATCTGCGGCACACAGAGGAAGGAAAGGGATTCAGGATCCGGGCAGAGGGATTGGGGGGCTGAAGACAGGAGTCCTTGAAGATTATACTTTGCATTTTCAAAGAACTGAAGATGCAGCTGTAAGACAGAACACAGAGAGATCTCGTGCGCCCGCAGCCAGTTTCCCCTGCTTGGAACCTCTCACAGAGCTACTGCTCAATGTCAAAGCCAGGACGCTGGTGTGGATGCAATTGGCCACTTTTATACAGACGCCCTAGTTTTTACTAGTCCTCATGTGTGCGTTCTAAATAGTTGTATCACACGTGTAGTTTCGTGTATCCACCACCAGTGGTGATAGATCTCCGTCCCCCAAACACCTCTCTTGTTGTTCTCTATGACCTCTTCTTGCTACCTTCCTCCCTAACCTCTGACAACTGCTAATCCAGTGGTTCTCAACCTTCCTCATGCTGCGGCCCTTTAATACAGTTCCTCATGCTGTGGTGACCCCCAACCATAAAATTATTTTCGTTGCTACTTCATAACTGTAATGTTGCTACTGTTATGAATCGTCATGTAAATATCTGATATGCAGGATGTATTTTCATTGTTACAAATTGAACATAATTAAAGCATAGTGATTAATCACAAAAACAATATGTAATATATATGTGTTTTCCAATGGTCTTAGGTGACCCCTGTGAAAGGGTCGTTCGACCGCCAAAGGGGTGGCGACCCACAGGTTGAGAACCACTGCTCTAATCTCTTCTCCATTTTTCATTTGTCATTTCAAGACTGTCATATAAATAGAATCATGCAGCATGAAACCTTTTGGGATTGTTTTTTTTAAAATATATTTTTATTGATTTCAGAAAGGAAGAGAGAGATAGAAACATCAATGATGAGAAAGAATCATGGATTAGCCTGACCGGCATAGCTCAGTGGTTGAGCATCGACCTATGAACCAGGAGGTCATGGTTTGATTCCAGGTCAGGGCATGTGCCCAGGTTGCAGGCTCAATCCCCAGTGTGGGGCGTGCAGGAGGAGGCAGCCAATCAATGATTCTCTCTCATCATTGATGTTTCTATCTCGCTCTCCCTCTCCCTTCCTCTCTGAAATCAATAAAAAAAATACTTAAAAAAAACCAAACAGAATCATGGATCGGCTGCCTCCCGGCACTGGGGATCGAGCCCGCAGCCCGGGCATGTGTCCTGACCAGGAATCAAACCCTGATCTTCTGGTTCATAGGTCGGTGCTTAACCATTGAGCCATACTGGCCAGGCAGATTTTTTTTTAATTCAACATAACTCCTTTGAGATTTGCCTAAGTTGTTCACATGCCAATAGTTCATTTTATAAAATCCTCACCTGAGGATGTCTTTGTTGTTGTTGTTGTTGTTTTAGAGGGAGAAGAAGGGAGAGAAACATCAATGTGAGAGGAACATTGATGGGTTGCCTCTCCCATGCACCCCGACCAGGGATTGAACCTGAAACCTAGGTATGTGTCCTGACCAGGAATCGAACTTACAACCTTTTGGTACATGGGACGATGCTCCAACCAACTGAGCCACCTGGCCGGGGCTAGTTCATTGTCTTTTTATTGCTGAGTAGTGTGCTCCATGGTGTGTGCGCCACTGCTTAACTATCCACCCTTCGAAGGACATCTAGGTTGTTTCCGGGGTCTGGCTATTATGAATAAAGTTTCTATACACATTTGTGTTCAGGCTTTTGTGTGAACATGTCTTTACTTCTCCGGGGTAAGTGCACAAGAACGCAATTGCCGAGTCATACGGTAGCACGTTTGTCCAGGTGCGTTTGTCCAGCTGAGCAAGTGTTGGCTGAGTAGCCATTGCGTACCAAGTGCCATCCTGGGGCCCAGGATCAGGCAGTGAATGGGACCATGAAGTCAATGCCTTCATGGAAGGTGAAAACTGGCTGCAGAAGAGACTAGGCTGTGAATAAATACACAGAGCAGAATTGTGCGTTGTCATTTCAGTGGGGGCCGGGGCGGCTACTAGATTGGGAGGCAGGAGGGCTCACCCGAGGAAGGGGCACTTGAGCTGAAGTGTGCACGCGAAGGCGCCAGCTGTGCGGGTGTCCGGGGGAAGGTCGTGAGGCAGGACCACCCATGACTTACTTCGATGGAGCAGCCCATGAGAGAAGAGCGGTCTATGGCCTTCCTCAGCATCCTCAGCAGGTTCTTCGGGGGCTGCTGCAGCTCGAAGCTGTGGGTCACGCCCCCCGTGAAGTCCTCAAAGCCCTCCATCGTGTTGCCCCCCGACAGGGCCTCGTAGGACCCGCTCAGCCTGCGGGCACAGCGAGGGCACCGTGGGCTCTGGGATAGAGCTGCGAGCTTGGACACCAGGGGGTAAGGCGAGGGGAGGGAAGGATGCCCTGCCACCCCTCTCTCTGCCTTTCCCCTCGATTCCAGCTGCCCCATCGCTGCCAGCGTGCGGGCAGGTTTGGAGCAAGCCCAGTTCCTTGGCTCAGGGCACTCACTTGGCGTACGCCTTCTCCAGGAGGGCACTCCAGAACTCAGCGCGCTCGCCCGAGTGCACAAACAACAGCTTGCCATTCTTTGTGGGTAGCCGGTCATCCACCACCACGTCGACCCACTGCCCAAACTGCCAAATCTGTGGGCAGCAAGGTGGGCCTCAGTGGGCCATGAGGCATCTGGCTTCTGTCTGCCACCCCCTTCCGCTAAGCACAAGCACGCGCGCGCGCACACACACACACACACACACACACACACACACACACACACACTTTGCATGGAACTCTGTTGCACCAGCGCCTCCTGGTGGGCAGATTCAGTGACACGCCAGTGTCAAAGGCGTGACTCCCCCAGAATGGCTGACGAGAGACTGAAAGAGGATGAGAAGCCTGAATTTCACCACCAGCCTCATCTGCAGGTCCTGCCATGGCCTCCAGGGGTACCCTGGTTGGACTTTTGACCTTGGCTGGGCTTTAGGATTCCTGACGTCTTAAGTCTTAAAAATTCTTGTGATTCTCAGATATGTTTGTATGACGTGGTGAATTTATCCACATGTTGCTAAATTTGAAGAGCAATTGTGATGAGACTCCCAATATCATACATACACACATATATGTATATGTATGTGTGTGTATGAGGGAGGGAGAGAGAGGGAGAGGGAGAGAGAGAGAGAGAGAGAGAGAGAGAGAGAGAGAGAGAGAGAGAGACATCGATGTGAGAAACGTCAATAGGCTGCCTTCTGCACATGCCCAGAATGGGGGTTAGGATTCGAACTCGAAACCTAGTATAAGCCCTGACTGGGATCAAACTCTTGACCTTTCGGTGAATGGAACAATGCTCCACACTGGCCGAGGCATAAATGTCATTTTTCAAAAAGAGAAGAAAAAAGGCAAACTTCAAAGCACATAGTCATTCTTTCCCTCCCTCCCTCCATACTTCCCCACCACACACACACCCCCGCCCCCCACAAAGCCTCTCTGACTTCCCATCGCCCTTCACCTGAAAATGGAAGATGCCAGCATAGTTTTTCTTGAAGCTCTGCCCCTTGGGCACCACGCGGTACAGCAGCTTGGGGCACGTGGTGAGGGAGCCGATGGCAGCCAGCAGCCAGCAGTCCCCTGAAAGGCAGGCAGGGGCTCCCCCTGAGCGCTCCCACAGTGTGGGGGTCCAAATCCGACCACTGAGGAGCAGGAGCTGGCTCTGTGGCCCCTCCCCAGCCGGCCCTCCCACTGAGGAAGCTAATGGGGGGCGGGGAGCAGGGCAGGAGGGGCAGCCTGTGCGGTGCGGGTGCAGTGAGCTTCTCCCCCGTTTCTCTTAGGCGAGGGATTTGCCAATGAGAGCCGCTGCTTCTGTTTTGGGATCTGGGGAGGAGGCATTTTTGGCCTCGGTGTAGCTCCTCCCTCCGGGACCTGCCTCCTTTGGGAGAGAGCCAATCATCTCCCAGGGCCCCCACCTCTCCCCCATGGTTACACTGGTGCGGCCAAGACGTCTCTCCCTGATGTCACCCACTAATATTGGAGACCCAAGGGGCTCAGCCTGTACCCCAGGTCTCTGGGGCCAGGTGTTGGGCAGTGTGCCCGGGCTGAGGCCATCCATTGCCATCTGTCTCCTGGGATCTCAGACCCCGTGGTGGGGCTGGGGGGCAGGTGGTGCCATGTGGTGAGTACCCTGGGCCAGGTGGAGGCTGAGGGCCCTGGGTCAGCGTCTGGGATGACCCAGGGCCTCCAGGCTGCAAGGTGCCCGGGAGGGAGGCAGAGGGTGGGGAAGGGAGGTTAAGGACACATCAATCCTCCGTTGCCAAAAGGGCACCCAGGGAGGAGCCAGTTTTCTTCTCAGGTAGCCTGGGGCTGCTCCAGCGCATGGGGCCGAGGACTCCTTGGCCTCTGCCCTGCCCACACCCTGCTCTTCCCACAGCCACAGGTCGGAGGGAACTCAGCCCCGGAGGGAACCCGCCCTGGCCTTCTCCCTGAAGATGCCAGGAGGCGTTTGGAGGAAACCATGGAATAGGGCCAGGTTTAGGGAGGACAATCTCTCTCGGGACTGTGCACGGGAGCCTGTGGGAGAGGGGCCAGCGGCCACGCTCTGCACCTGAGAGGCCAACGGGGAAGCCCTGACACCTGCCTAGGCTCCAAGACAGGACTCTCCGCCCCCAGGAGGCGGGGCCTCCTCCCTCCCCTTCAGTGTGGGCGGGACTTCATGCTGTGAGTGTGTATGTGTGTGTGTGTGAGCGTGTGTGTGAGAGTGTGTGTGTATGTGTGTGTGTGTGTGTGAGTGTGTGTGTGAGTGTGTGTGTGTGTGAGTGTGTGTGTGAGTGTGTGTGTGAGTGTGTGTGTGTGAGTGTGTGTGTGTGAGTGTGTGTGTGTATGTGTGTGTGAGTGTGTGTATGTGTGTGTGTTGTGTGTATGTGTATGTCTGCGTTGTGTGTGAGTGAGTGTGTGTGTGGTGTTGTGTGTGTGTGTGTATGTGTGTGTGAGTGTGTGTGTGAGTGTGTGTGTGAGTGTGTGTGTGTGAGTGTGTGTATATGTGTGTTGTGTGTGTATATATATGTGTTGTGTGTATGTGTGTGTGTATGCGTGTTGTGTGTGTGTGTATGCGTGTTGTGTGTGTGTGTGTGTGTGTGCGTGTGTTCTCCTGGGAATAGGTGGTAAGACATCACGGCTCCCCCCTTGTCTCTCTCGGATCACTCACACCGGGGAAGCTGGCTACCATCGTGGATGCGGATCCGTCAGCCCCGTCCAACCTTCAGGTGGCCGCACCCCCGACTGGCGTGCTGACCGCAGCAGCCTCCCGAGGACCCCGCGCCAGCCCCCCCGCCCCCAGCAGTGCTGCTTCTGAGCTCCTGCCCCACAGAGACTTCAGGTGACAGCACGTTTCTGGCTGTAGGTCACTGAGCCTTAGGTGATTCATTGTGTTGTGGCCAATAGCGAATATACCCCCCCCCCCCAAGCCTACCCCCTGGCCCAGAGGGCGGCGGGGAGGGCGGGACCCAGGTGAGGGGCAGCAGGAAGACCACCTGGCACCCTCACTGCCATCTCCTCAGAAGGGGGTGACAGGGAAACGGAAGGTGTTGTCTGAACCTAAGGGCTCCCAGTTCCCCAGCCTCGAAAGACACTTTGGGCCCAGCCAGCATGGCTCAGTGGCTGAGCGTTGACCTATGAACCAGGAGGTCACGGTTCGATTCCCAGTCAGACACACGCCTGGGTTGCGGGCTCAATCCCCAATAGGGGGCGTGCAGGAGGCAGCCAATCCACGATTGTCTTTCATCACTGATGTTTTTCTCTCCCTCTCCCTTCCTCTCCGAAATCAATAAAAATATATATATTTTTAAAAAGACACTTTGGCACCCCCCACCTCCACGCTCCTCCCCAATTCATCCCCGCCTCCAGGGGAGACCAGCCTCCCTGCTCCCCACTCACCCAGCACCCCCTGGCAGATGTCCGTGGGGCTGACCCCGTTCATAATGAAGTGAGGGTTGCTTGTGATTTCCTGCAGTGAAGGAACAAAGGTGTCAGGGAGCCCAGGACACCCCCTCCCTCCTCCCTCCCAACGACGTTCCTGGGGAAGGGTCCCCACCTCCAAGCTCTAGGGGGAAACGTGGGTAGGGGCCGGGGAGGGACAGGACCCGCTTGGCACAGTTGTAGGTTGCGATAGTGAAGGTTGGCGAGGACTCTCCCGGGGGTTATGAGAGGTTAGGCACGTGCAGAACTGTCCCCGGCCCTGATGGAGGTGGGGCCTCGTGCCAGGGCCAGCAGAGGGCTGAGGGGGCCTGGAGAGGATTGGAGGGACAGGGCACCACGCGCTCCGCCCCGCCCCCAGGCGCCCGTGCTCCCCTCCCGGTGCCCACCCTGGGCCGCTGCCAGCTGATGTTCTGCACTTTTTTGGAGTTGGGGCCCAGGTCCTTGAAGCCCAGAGAAGTGGGTTCAGCAGGAAACGCGGGGTCCTTGAACAGTTCCCCCTTCCTCAGACAGAGCTCCTGCAGGTCCTCAAAGCTCTGGTTTCGGTAGTTGTGGGCGTTGTTGTGTTGGCCCACGCCCTTGGCCTTGAGTCTGTTGTGGCTGATGTGAGCCGCCATCCCCTTATTGATGAACTCCGAATTCACTTGATCATGAAAAGACAAATAACCCCATTAAAAACACGGACACAAGATCTCCACAGGTATTCTTCGGAAGAAGACATGTAGACGGCCAATAACCACATGAAAAAGATGCTCCACCTCTTTAGTCACCAGACAGCTGCACATCAATGACAGACCACCTCACACCCACCAGGATGGCTGTAAACAAAGGCTGACAATGACAAGTGTTGGCCAGGAGGTGGAGACACTGGGGCCCTCGAACACTGCTGGCGGGAAGGCAAATGGTGCTGCCACTTCGGGAAAACAGTCTGGAGCAGCGGCTCTCAACCTGTGGGTCGCGACCCCTTTGGCGGTCGAACGACCCTTTCACAGGGCTCGCCCAAGACCATCCTGCATATCAGATATTTACATTATGATTCATAACAGTAGCAACATTACAGTGATGAAGTAGCAACGGAAATAATTTTATGGTTGGGTCACAACATGAGGAACTGTATTTAAAGGGCCAGGAGGTTGAGAACCACTGGTCTGGAGGCTCCCCAGGCGGTCAAACATAGAATCACCACAGGACCCAGCAATTTCACCCCTAGCTATATATACCCACGAGAAATAAGAACACATGTCCACTCAAAACCCTGTACACAAATGTTCCCAGCAGCAATATTTGCAATAGCCAAAAAGCAGGGGCGGGGGGACCCCAAATGCCCACCAGCTAATGTGTGGAATATACCTACAATGGAATATTTTTCAACATTTACTTGGCAACAAAAATAAATGAAGCATTGACACGTGCTACAGCATGGATGAACCTTGAAACCATGATGCTCAGTGAAGAAAGCATTCACAAAGATCGTACATTGTACGGTTCCAACAATATAAAGTGCCCCGAATAGGCCAAACTCTATAGAAAGAAGATGAGGGGTTGCTGAGGACTTAGGAGGATGGAGGGGTTGGGGGTTGATGGCTAAAGGGTACGGGCTTCTTCTGGGGGGAGAATGAAAATGTTCTACAATTGATTGTGGTGATGGTGGTACAAAAATGAACGAAAACCGTTACATTCGTGAGCTGTATGGCGTGTGAATCATATTTCAATAAAGCTGTTGAAAACATGATCCCCAGCCCTGGCCGGTGTGGCTCAGTTGGTTGGGCATCGTCCTGGGCACTGAAAGCACAGGCCCAGGTTGGGGGCTCGATCCCCAGTAGGGGGCGTGCAGGAGACAGCCAATGGATGTTTCACTCTCAGACACTCCCTCCCCCTCCCCTCCCCCTCCCCCTCCCCCTCCCCCTCCCCCTCCCCCTCCCCCTCCCCTCCCCCTCCCCCTCCCCTCTCTCCCTTCCTCTCTAAAAAAAAATCAATAAGAATGTTTTTAAAAATGACCCCCAGAGCTCGCAGCAGACTCTGCCACTTGAGGAGCGTGGAGACAATGGAGGGCAGAGGGCAGGGGCTGCTCCCCGGGAGGGGGAGTCCAGGCGGGGCGGTGGTGCTGAGCCTCTGACGGGAAAGGTCAGGCTGGCGGCTGGGGGCCGGGACACCTGCCGCACGGCCTCCCGCAGAGGGACCACACGCTGCTGCGTCCCTTCCCGAGGACAAGGACGGCCTCCCACCCACACGCCGGCCAGGGACTGACTCCCGCTGTCACCAGCAGTGGACCCCGGGCAAGAGCCTGGAGGGGGAGGGAGGGGAGGGGAGGCCACATTGCCGAGATCACTCTGGATCTCCAGTCCTACCCTGCTGGCCCCCGGGGTCGGGGGGGTCCTTCCTCTGGAATAAGGAGGAGCTTAGGGGGAGGGGAGGAAGGACGAGGCCTAAACTAAGCAGAGCCCAGCTGGGGCCAGCGTCTGAGAGATCTGAATGAGGAAAAGGAGGGGGACAGCTACAGAGAGGGCTGTCCGAGGGGAGCCTGAGCCCCCCGAGGACTAGGTCTCAGGGGCCAGAGCCGGGTCTCCCCTATTCTCCCTCCCTCGAGCTGACCCCCAAGAAGAGCGGGAACAGCAGAGCTAAGGGCCCTGAGCACCTGTTCTGTGCCCCGCACACGGCCCTGAGGTAGGGCCCTGCAGACCTCCGCTGACCAGAAGGGGAGGCAGGAGCCAGAGGTCAAGTCGCTTGCCCAAGGTCACAGAAGGAAGGCTGGGCCTGGGACTAGGCCCTGACCTTTGCCCTTACCCCGCCTCCTGGGGGTGCCTGTCCTCAGCGGGGAGGCCTGTGGAGCCAGAGCCACCTTCCTCAGCTCCGGGGCTCGCGGGCCATTTGTGGCTGAACTGACGCCCCCTTCCTCTTCCCACCCAGCAACCCATGCTCCCACCCACGTCAGCGTCCCCTTGGGACTTCCCGGGCCCAGTAATGACCCCTGTCGTCTCCTCTTGTTGGCCTGACAAGCCCAAACCTTCGGGCACGGGCCGCCTAGGTCCAGCTGCGTCGGACGGCTCCCAGCTCCGTGCCTCTCCCAGAGCCGGTGCCCAGTAAGTGGTGGGACCTGCAGAGCCCGACTCAGCACTGCCCACAGGCCAGGCCTGGGCATTGGTGAGGGCAGTGAACGGAGGTCCTGCCGCAGCCCAAGGGCCTCGCTGGAGCCTCCAGGCCCCAGGTCCCACTAAGGAAAGCTTCTTGGCCGTAAGGATTAGGGTGGGTTTGCTGAAGAAAGACTTGGGGTCCTGTCCTTGGCTCCGGAATTCCACAGCGCCTGTGGCTTTGGCGGCAAGATATTAGGAATCCTCCCTCAGAAAAGGAACTAGCCTGTATCACAGTGAGAGTTCATGGTCTCTGAGGGCTCGGCACAGGCGTGGCATGGTTAAAACATGTTACACGCATGAACTCATCGATTCCTCACGACACCCTTTTGGCTAGGTTTACTATTGTCTCCCCGCTACAGAGGGAGAAACCAAGGCACAGAGAGGTCGAGGCCACACACCTGGTGGGCAGCAGAGGCAGGGCCGCACCTGGGCAGGCCGGTCCGTGCTCTCACCCAGCACACCTGCTGCTCTCCTGGGAAGGAGCCTGTGGAGGAGCAGGTGCTGTGCTGGAGAGAGGGGGGAGGTCCATCCCTTCCTCCATCTCACTCCAGCCTCTGGCCTGGCCGTCTGTTAAACCACGTCCCCTCAGCTGTGGGGGCGACAGAGATGGAGAAGGTGTTGGAAAAGGGGTTGGGAGGCAGCTGATTCCGCTTGAGCAGAGCTGTGCCCTGGGCTGCACGGCCAGAGTGAGGAGCTGTGTGACCTTGGGCAAGTTGCTTTACATCTCTGGGCCTTGGTATAAAGAGGCTACTGTAGCCTTCCTTGCAGGGTGTTTCAGGGTTAAGGGATGCGACGCCCATGGAAAAGATCCGTGTTTAGTAGGTGCTCAGAGAACGCTCCTCGCCTTCTGCCCACCGCCCTGGCTCGTCAACTGGTATTGATTGAGGGCCTCCTACTAGGATCACGTGGCTCCCTGAACACCCTCCTTCTTGGGACTCATGGGCCATAGGAGAGCAGCACACGCACTCACCACGGTGGGGACGTCTGTGTTCGTCTGTCTCCATCGTTAGGTTTGAGCGCGTCTCAGCCAGCCTTTGGGAATGTGTATTCTGTTCTGGGCCCGGAGGAGTCAGAAGTGGACAGTCCCCCACATGGACTCCGAGAAGCCCCTCCCCAGGCTGTCCCTCCGCACAGTCAGCTCGCAGGCCACAGAGACAGGGAGAAGGGGCCAGGGAAAGAGGCCGCTCAGGCCGGGGGTCATCAGGGAGGTTCTGGGGAGTGACTGCCTCCTGTCACCTGCTCTGCGCTCACCCCCTCCCCTGGGGTGGAGGGCACCAGGAGATCCTGGCTCTGGAAGAGTGGGGGAGGGGCGGGGCAGAGGGCGGTGCAGCCAGGATCGGGGAGTTTTTCCTCTGGCCCTTCTCTCCACCTCTCTCTTCCAGGCCGGCCCTCGGGGCTTCTCTTAGAAATGGTCCCGGAAACTCCTTCCCCGCTCCCTCAGACGGGGAAACAGGGGTGTGCTGGGTGTCTGTGGAGTGTGTGTATGTGTGTGTGTGTGTTTCTGAGGAGTGTGTGTCTGTGAAGTGTGTGTGCCTGTGATGTGAATGTCTATGAAATGTGAATGTGTGTGTCTGTGAAGTGTGAGCGTGTCTGTGAAGTGTGTGTGTTTGTGAGGTGTGTCTGTGAGGTGTGTCTGTGAGGTGTGTGTGTGTGTGTATGAAGTGTGTGTGTGTGTCTGTGAGGTGTGTGTGTGTGAAGTGTGTGTGTGTCTGTGAGGTGTGTGTGTGTGAAGTGTGTGTGTGTGTCTGTGAGGTGTGTGTGTGTGAAGTGTGTGTGTGTCTGTGAGGTGTGTGTGTGTGAAGTGTGTGTGTGTGTCTGTGAGGTGTGTGTGAGTGAAGTGTGTGTGTGTCTGTGAGGTGTGTGTGTGTGTGAAGTGTGTGTGTGTGAAGTGTGTGTGTGTCTGAGGTGTGTGTGTGTGAAGTGTGTGTGTGTGTCTGTGAGGTGTGTGTGTGTGTGATGTGTGTGTGTGTGTCTGTGAGGTGTGTGTGTGTCTGAGGTGTGTGTGTGTGAAGTGTGTGTGTGTCTGAGGTGTGTGTGTGTGAAGTGTGTGTGTGTCTGTGAGGTGTGTGTGTGTGAAGTGTGTGTGTGTCTGAGGTGTGTGTGTGTGAAGTGTGTGTGTGTGTGTGTCTGTGAGGTGTGTCTGTGAGTGTGTGTGTGTGTGAGGGTGTGTGTGTGAAGTGTGTGTGTGTCTGAGGTGTGTGTGTGTGAAGTGTGTGTGTGTCTGTGAGGTGTGTCTGTGAGTGTGTGTGTGTGAAGTGTGTGTGTGTGAGGTGTGGTGTGTGTGTGAGGTGTGTGTGTGTGAAGTGTGTTTGTGTGAAGTGTGTGTGTGTCTGAGGTGTGTGTGTGAAGTGTGTGTGTGTCTGTGAGTGTGTGTGTGGTGGGGTGTGTGTGTGTGAAGTGTGTGTGTGTCTGAGGTGTGTGTGTGTGAAGTGTGTGTGTGTCTGTGAGAGGTCTGTGAGGTGTGTGTGTGAAGTGTGTGTGTGTGA